GTCACAAAATAAGAAAGCCACAACTTCACTGTCTTCCTATGCAAGGAATCAGCTGACCCATAGGAGAGGCAATATGTCTAGCCTCATGCAAAAACTCTAGCTTCTAAAAATATTCCAGCCAGTCCCTGGGAAGAGGCAGATTTTGGCAACTTAAAATGAATTTGCTGCGGAAGGAATTATCTTGCATTTGTGGGCTCTGTTGTGCATAGGGTCTGTGTTCTTCCTCCCATACCCCTGGTTAAAATCCTTGTCTTCTTAAAATTGCTGTTTACTGCTTCCTTACAGGACAGATACTTACAGTGTCTGCCCTTCTGAACTGGCCTTAGCATGGATGAACTTAGCCTGCTGTACCTGCTCAAAAGGCTACAGTAGAGGATGCTATTCTGTCTTGCTCTGCTATGACCCCCCTTTGAATGGGTTGAGACAAAATTTGTCCTTGAACAGGAATCCACTGAAATTAAAAATTATACACACACCCAGATTAGCCTGCATGTGTGCAGCAAACAGGAAGTATGAAGAGGTCATTGGCTGTCAATTTGAACCTTTCCAGCATTATATGTGGAACTTTTTTTTTACATTAATTGTCAAATAAAATTGCTAAATATCACAAGCCTCTCTGTCAACTTTAATACAAACAGAACAATTTACATGGTATATAGAGAACATTATGCTCCTCTCAGTGAAGATAAAGGTTAAGAGTCTAGCCATCAGGAAATTTCTATTTATTGTTCTGTACTGTACATAAGGGGGTGAAGAAGGACTTAATAGCCCGTCATTGCCTATAAATTAGTGTAAATACAGCCTCACCTCGAAGGCTATGGAAATATGAATACCAAAGAATGCCTCATTTTTCCCCGTGTAATAAAACCTCTCTGACTTTCCTGTTTGTGTTCTGGAAAGTCTTGTCAATTGGGGCAAATTTCTTTCATCCTCCTGTCAAATTATTCTTAGTTATAGTAATGTCCTGGGGCTTCAGCTGGAATGAAGCCCTGTGTGCTAAATTCTGCACTAGCCTAGTGCGAGGCTGTCTCTGTCCCAAATTACAATCTCGGTAGGCAGCACAAACAAAGGTTGGGAGGACAGGAGGGAGGGGTTAAATGGCTGACCCAGGCTTACCTAGAGGATTGGTCACTCAAAGCTACAACACAGCTCTCCTGGTTCCCAGATCAGTCTCCATCCACAGAACTTGTGCCCTCTCCAGTTCTCATCTGAGGGGCAAAACTGATGCTGTCCTTTATAACCCATCTGGAATGTTACTCTCTTGTAATTTTTTCCCCTTCAGTCTAGAGCCACCAAGTTAAAAAAAACAATTACATTTTAGATAGCTGATTTTTTTTTTTCTCCCCCCCCCTTTACATTTCAGATTTTGTGTGGGAGACAAATTTTTCCTGAAGAACAACATGATCTTGTGTCAGATGGACTATGAGGAAGGGCAGCTTAACGGAAGCTTTGAATCCCAAGTTCAATAACGAACCCTGCTTCACTGAAGCACTGTGGGATGGACGTTCGACCACACGAGCAGTGAGGGGCGTCTGTCAGCTTGCCTGCAATATTTTTTTAATTCTTGGTCCAGAAAGGACTATATACATTGTAGTACTTTTCCCCCTTCCGCCCCCCCCAACACAAAGCAGTTACAATTTTAGATGTACAGTTGTGCCTGCTTAGCTGAGCACTGCATTGCCTGTATGTTTGTGAGTTTTTGAGGTCTGGGGGAGGGCTCTGTACAGTCTGTTTTCTGTATATAAACTGGAACATTTATTTTATGAAAAATGTAATGCAATTTTATTACTGGTGTGAATTAAAAATTATGAATGTTTCCTGGTCATTTTGGTTGTGATTTTGTTTCTAATAGTCAAGGGGGGAGGGAGGGCAGGAAGAGGGCAACGTGTAAGATGTATAATAATATATAAAATATATCTATTTAATATAATTATAATATATACTATATTATAAATATAAATGTATATATTGTGAGTGTATGATACACAATTCCCTGGAAATCGCACAAAATAAAATCACGGGATAGAGTCTAAAGAAACTCAAAAATAGTTGAGGAGGAAGTGCTGGTCTGAAACCTAAGCCTCTTGATTGGAACCAAATCAATATTAATCTCCAAAATAACAATGGCCTAAAAAGAGAGGAAACGCGTGAGGGGGCCGGAGTATCTTCATATCCCTGATCAATCCCCACAGAGACTACTCTAAATAATGTGTTCAATTGTTGACTACGGCACTGGTCTCTTTCTTCTTATGCATCAATTGAGGCAGCAGTGTGATGACCAAGAACCCTACTGACACATTACTATACAGTATCTCTGTAGTCTGAATCCCAGTGAATGGAGTTGCAGCAGCCCTGACAACAGGTGGTCAATGACCAATCAGACTATTCATTTCAAAGGCTTTGATTAAGGGTTTAATGTTTTTATACAGGGCATCAGCTTCCCAAGTAACAGGCACCAAAATATTTGATGCTAAGGACTTCAAATGAAACCTAGTTTTGAACTTATACCACCTGTTTAATGGACTCCTCTGGTTATTGCGTACTAGGTGCTTAGACCTCCCACACAACAAAAGCTGTTTGATTTTTTTTTTTTTTTTTTTTTCCCCTTTCTTTTTTTTGGTTTATCTTTGGTCAGCTTTTAAACAGCTGCTATAGAGAAGCACTGAATCTTGTTCAACCTACTGTACTCTGCTATTTTACAAGCTTACACAATTCATGTGCAATGCTTGTTACTATACCAAGGAAGTTTTACGTCCGTCTAGGATCCCTGTTATATAAGTGCAGGTAGCACTTGAGAAAAGTAACCAAACAGATACTTAAGTTCTACTTGTGTTTGTCTCCAGCTGCTGTTTTTTTTCCTCCTCCTGTTCCTGTTCTGTAAAGAAGTACCAATATAGCTTTAAATATTAAACTACCAGTCCTGAATCAAATGCAGCTTGTTTTCTCAGCACTGCAAATGCTATATATGGATTTTGGACTTTCATACCTATTGCTGTGCATCCAGACCCCAACCTGGGGGAGGAGGGGAAAAAGAACACCACCTGAAACCTAAAAGAAACCCTGAGCTTTTACTAACGGACTAATAAACTGCAACAAGTAGTCTGGAACCCCTCTTGATAGCTCATTCTCATTTTTCTGGAGGCAGCTGTTTTCAAATTGGGATGGCCTATTGAAAGAACTATTTGGTCTTCACCCCATTCCTTGTCTATAGGTGTCTTTCTAACAACTCACTGCTCTGGTATTAATTAATCCCACTTAGCAATATTTCGGCAGAGATATTTGGTATTAATTAATCCCACTTAGCAATATTGCAGAGGAGAAAATAGTTTCCTTACACTAGCACTTTACTGCATGATTATATGGGGCTTCTAGTTACAGTGAAGGGAACTTCTTCACTCATGCAACTCAAACTATTTGTCTCTTGAATTTAAAAGGGCTATTGTATCCAGGCTAACCCATCTTTTAAGTGCACTAAATTCACAGGAAAAATTGATATCTGTGGTTCCTTTCATAATCTAAAATGGCTGCATTTGTATAATGGGATATCTTTTTAATAGAGATAGCAGGAATTTCAGCTTTGTTAGCTCCCCTGTCAGGTCTGCCTGAGGTTTGGTGCCAGTTAAGGAATTTCCTTTAAGAACCAGTACTTGCCCTCACTAGGAAACATGGACTTTTAAAATTATGTAGCATAATAGCCTTTCACAAAAAGAAGCACGGAAAATGTATTTTTGAAAGATTTGCCAAGGTATCTGGCTGCCAGTTTGACTTACCCATTCCCATCCCATAGTGACAATGAAGGTAGCCACTAGCGCAAAGCATTAAGGAAAAAATATATCCAGTTGCTTTTAGGTTGTTTAGATCTTTGGCTTAATAAAATGGCTGTTTGCTGTACAGAGAGATTCCTTCTTACAAATCAGAATCCTTTCTCTATGCTAAGACTACCAGCCTGTTGAGCCCTCCCAGAGGTGCCTTGTAAGGCCGCATGATTGTGTCTTGTACTGAAACAGTTGGCACATAAAAAGAATAAATGTGTCTTGTTCAGAAAGTTCTCTCTGTACACATGGGAACGTTTTCCTACTGAATCATATTTTCTACTGACAAAGCATTCACAGAGCCTTTAAGATAAAGTAACAAAACTAGCTTGCTGTTCCTGCTGCACACAACTCCTGCTTGGGTTCAGATTTAACTGAAGTGAATTTTAGGATAAAGTTCTTCCCTTACCAAAAATACCATTAAAATGTCTCTTCCACCATCTTATTTATAATTGAATGAATTAAGAGGGTGTTTAGTGGCAGCGTATGATGCAGCAAATGCAACCTGGCACCCCCCTTGAGACGATAGGCTGATATCAGATGAAGGTGACATCCAAAAACAAAAATGGGGCTTAGATTGATGAGTGGATTAGGCTTGGTGTAGACGAAAAACTACAACGTAAGATTTAAAGAAATTCACAGAACGCTGACCGAAATAGCTACAAATAGCAAGATGCTGTCTAGGAGCGGCATCAGGCTAAAAGTAAAGTAGCAGAAACATAAAAACATTGCTATGGAGATTGGGGGTGGTTAGAAAAACTAATGAATGTGTTGGCTATAAACAGCAAAAAGGAGATAACCCATATTTGAGACTTGGTGGATGTGTCCTAATCAAAGAACTAAGTTTTCTTGAAGTTGAGAAGCTAAACATATTAACATCTTTTTTTAGTACCACTTCACTTCCTGGTTTCATGGGCGAGTGACACCATGTCGCATATTGTTGATGATTGTTTGCTGCTCGAGTTCAGTGGTGAGCTACAAGAACTGCACATGGCCACTGAGGATGCTATCACACAGCTCAGTGATTATGTACACATAATCATGATGTGACTAACACACGCAATAGCATTAGTATCTCTTCACTGGTGGCAGGGCAAAGAAAATCCTTGGAAAAGGTACAATCTCCCCACAAAGAACCCGTCCTTAAGCTCTCATCCTGCCTGGTTTTTTGGGGTTTTTTTGCAGACTTTTCAGTCTGGTCAAATTCAGGTTGTAAAGAGACGGTGCAGCTGCAGAAAGTAGCAGCTGAGGCGTTAGCTGGTCTGGACCAGATCTCTTGAGTGTACACCTACTCGTGATGTGCAAAAAGGGAGTGAGGAATCACTTGCATCAGTACTCAGAATTCAGAGTATTATATCATGGAAGGATAGTGGTACATAACAAGACTTGGAAGGATTGATTGTAGCCTTTCTTGTGAGACACTCTTTCATATGAATGTGGCTGAGATGTATAACACCAGTTTTGCTTGCCAACAAAGCTAAATGAAATTTTGACTTGGCAGAAATCAATCAATATTAACAAAAGGCAAAAGTTGCCATGTGCTGTTACAGCACCCTCTTCTATTTCTTTTGCCTTCTTTTTCTGTTTCCTTCCCCGATTCACATCCTGCCTCTGTTTTCACCAGTCCCAATGGCCGAGGAAGGCAACAATGAACGACAACAATACTCTCTTTGGTAGTCATGCCTGTTATAACAGTATCATGTAACATGCTAATAGTGAACCAAAGGAGTGGAGAACTTAGAAAATATAGGTTCCAAGAGCTCATAAAAGAAAAAAGAGCATCATCAATTTTAGCCTGTTTATTCAAGTTTGAGAATGCCCAAGTGGAAAAGACTATTTCCATCTGCACAGACCATTGCGTGCAATTGTAAAAAGTGTTGATGATCACTGGAAAATTTCTACCCCAAATGAAAGTTGTAAAGCACAAATTTCTGGTGTCTTTTGCATTTTACACAGCCTTTACACTTAGTATACTAGTGAGGGCTTAGAGATTCCAATTGTGTATCAGGGGCCGTGCTGTTCTTGGCACTGTATAAACAGCAATATTTTTTTTGCTGAGAAGCTTACAATTTAAGAACAAGGCAAGAGACAACAGATAATTATAGCAAACAGAAAGGATGAGCATAAGGAAACAATGAGACAATGCTAATCAGTTACAGCTTCCCAAACCCTCACCAAGATTTTTGTAGACATCATGGCCCATGGATCCCTACAAAAAAAGACAAGTGGATAGTATTTGATGGGATGGTGAAGGGGAAAGCTCATGAGCCTTATCTCAAGCCAGCCATTGGCAGAACTCCATAATTTCAGTTCTGGTGCATCTCCTTCAAGCAAACTTCTATTTTACTTGCATATTTCCATGCATAGGTGACTGGTGGGGGGGCATGAGTGGGCATGCGCCCCCCC